ATAGAATGATCACTCATGCTGCAAAACGGAGTTGCAAACTGCAACTAGAACACTTAGAAGCAAGCGTTTTAAACTGAAAATTAGAAACAGCTATAAATAAGGCAATATATGTACAGTGAAATATACAATGAAAGGCCAGAGAACAGTGATTTCAGATTAGAGAACTCTGTTCATGATATGGTTTAAGCCGTTCAACGTGAATCGGACTTAAAACAGCACCATCATCTTCAGAAATTAGCTCATAATCTAGAGAACCGACTTTTCTCGCGATACAATAAGGACCGATGAATTTAGCGGACAGCTTAGGCGTTGCCCATTTATCTAAAGCGGAACCAGCTGTATTGGCCATCAAAACCTTCTCGCCTACGGCAAACTGAATATTTTTACGATGTAAATCGTAGGATAATTTTTGATTTTCTCGAGCTATTTCAAGATTCTCTTTAGCCGATTCGTGCGCAGACTCTAAAATGCTTTCAGACATTCCGTATAGGCCCGTACTTCATCGGATGATCTTAACTCATCAAGAACATCAACTTCTGAACCATACATTAAGTCAAGAGGCAATTTAAGTTCCCACCCCTACATTAAAAAGGAGTTTGACCTGTCGATTCATTTATGGCTGCTCGAATGGCTAAGGCTAGCTGTGGCAATCGAATATCCCAAGATTCCTTATCATTTTGAGCAAAAATAGCCGTTCTATTAACACGTTCAGATAGGTTGGATTGAGGATGATAAAGAGCAGTTGTTCGATGTCGAATGCCCATGATTTTTAAAGTTTCTCGAAAAATCTCTGCAACAAATTGCGCTCTGTTTTCAAAAACTATTTTTACGGGGACACCATGACTGCATATGACTTCGTCATGCAAAACTTGTGCGATTTTTTTCGATTTTATACTTCCTAAAGGAAAAAGTTCTACCCATTTTGTGAAATAGCCGATAACAGCTAAAATATAGGCATTTCCTCGAGGAGTTTTTGGGAGAGGACCGGTCAAATCGATTCCGATTGTATTTCACGGAGACTGAACTACGTGAAATTGCATTAAGCCAGCCTTCTTTTCATTTGCAGCCTTAAAACACTGACATAGGTCGCAAGATCTTACATATTGCGCAACGTCGCGGCTCATACCTTCCCAAAAGAAGCGAATCGATATTCGATGTAGGGTTTTTCGGCGTCCGAGATGACCTGAAACTGGGTGATCATGGGCTAATTTAAGAATCTTCAAAGTTAGACATTTCACATTCTGTTAGTGGTCTACTTTGTGTTTTCGATATTTGAGATCGAACCATTAAAGAACCATCGTCTTCCAAATTTACGTCGGTCGAAACACCGTTGTCTAATACTAAATTGATCAATTCACCGTGCCCATCATTCTTGGATTTTATTTTTGGAATATGTTCTGAATCTAGTTCAGAAAGTTGTAGCAGTCTAGCATAGTTAGGCTCATAGGTTGTCATAAGTTTATGCTAGAAACCTCAAAGTCCATAGGCGGTTCTCTCCTATGCAAAAAAAAATCGATCGCGAGTATCGTTGTATTGTTTAAAAGATGACATTTCGAGAGGGTGATTCAATCATGAAAAAATAAGTTTGATCGATGTCGAGAAATTTTGAGTACTCAGCTATAGGGCGTACCACAGGGGTGTGCTAAAGAACTAAAGTGAACAATGCACAGTGCATTTAACAATTAGATTTTCTGTGAAAACTAAGATTCAATTTTTCTATTTATAGTATTGAAAATGAAATAGTATATTTCGAGCATACCATGTTTAATATTGAAATGTCACTGTAATGGTTTTGTGTAGCTGCATTAAATAGTCCTAACCATTTTGCTTGAAACTTTCTATCAGTTTGGTTTCTTAATACACGGTAAAAAGATACGTATTTTAGAAAACGTTAACCGTTTCGCATTTTTCCTTTCGAACGGAAAATGGTTTATTGACAGTTTCCTAAACGCTTAAGGGTTTATCAGTGATAGGGTTTCTTAACATACCCTTCCGAATTCTAAAAACGCGCTTTTTATAAACCCAAAAAGGTATCGGAGTGGAATTAATAAACCGTGAGGGCATCACATTTTAGATCAGGGCTGGGCAACTCCAACTCCGGAGTTGAGAATTTTTTTGGTGGAGTTGGAGTTGGGTCTTTGAATTTTTATCCTCAAGTCCGTTTTACATTTTTGGAAATATTCGGTGATTGTAAAAGTGATCTTCTAAATGATTGAGTGGCTGTATTCACAAGTGAATTCGGAAGTTCTTTGCGCTTCCCTACTGGAAAAAGCTCAAAAACGTCCAAAATCCTGCTAAAAAACCGAAAAATCTTCCTTACAAAAGTGAAGCAACCGGAGTTGAACCGGAGTTGAGATTTTTGTTGACGAAGTTGGAGTTAGAGTTGGAAATTTGAAAAAGGAATTTGAATGGAGTTGGAATTGAAAGTTAGCAGAGTTGTGCAGCCCTGCTTCAGATGAAAAATCCATAGGTTTTCTCGTAAAGCCTTTTGGTTTTTTAATAAACTCAAAAGGGCTTTTCTCGCGTAATAAACCCTATAGTAATTCTCTTAAATAAAGGGGTTCATTGACATACGGAAAAACGTATTTTAAAAAATCGTGAGGAGAATTTCATCTTTATTGCAGATCAGGTTAAACAGCAATGTTATTATGATTATATTGCCTTGTACCTCGTTTTTCAGAAGTTAGAATCGAACTTACCGATCCACATTTTACCAGACTTATCTTCGGGATGGAGTAACTTATGTATTCGAAATTCAACTACAAACTCTATTGGAAAAGTTGAATTATTCAAGCTATCAGTTGTAATGAAGTTAAAACAGCGATTTTCTCAACTGTTGAGAATGAGAGTACGTGGTATCTTCTCATTGGTCGATACCAGCCAGTTTTCCCGTTAGTCGTATCTGTTAACTTTTATTTTATTATTAATAGATCAAGAGTCGTGTTATGTTATTTTTCGACTTTGTTAGCTACTAGAAACCACTCATTGTTAGCAATCCAAGAGGCTCGGCGAATGTCTGATAGAACGACAACTTTTTTCTTACTGTCGCGGAGATCACGAAATACAAATGATCTTCGTTATTTTCTTAGCGTTTCAGATTCTTCGAAGGTCAGAACAATGCAGATAACTGGCCAGTAATCTCCCTAGCACTTCTGCAAAATGATCACGTCTTATACTGTAGGCATATGGGGGTTTGGGTGCAACCATTCTGTGAAGTACCCTCAACATTGCTTAATAATAAACCTGATAGCAGTACCTCACTGTTACCTTTCGTTTCTGTAAAAAAATTTATTCTACCCTTCATTGTTTGCTCTCATTCTAAAGAATTAGAATAAAAATGATTTGCAATTTTGATGTGTACGTTATGAAACTGCATCAAGGGCCTAGTGACCTAAAAATAGAAAAGCAAATGACTGTAAATATGAATGTCACTGAGAAGTTACTTTCCTGAAGACTAAATGGCACTACACTTCGGTATATAAATTCACGAGAGCATAATAGTGCACTATAGAGACATGGAAACCTTTTCCGAAAAGCTTAAAGCGTTCGGGAAACTGAAGCTACACCGAACGAAGGGAGGGTTTCGAAGACATGAAAAACCCTTTCCGGAACGCTTTCAGGGTACTTTCTCAAACCTTTATTCGTTCGGTGTGGTTCACTTTCCCGAACGTTTTTAGCGTATTTTAAAATACGGATTTTTTTCTACAGTGTAGGTTTCATTGATACAATGTAAATGATCATGTATATATATTTTGAGGCTCCTTTCCATCTCCATCTTCCTCTTGAAAAATTCAAAAATACATTGTTGGATGATTTCACTTATCATGCGGAATCACAAAGACAAAATATATTGCGTCTTTCTCTTGAACTGTAGTTCAACCATTCTTGTATATTTTCTCCTTGCACAGACATAACCCCGGTATTCTAGCGATGGAATACAGCAACTGAATCATTCTTTCTGACCCTGGCCTCTATAAAATTCCAAAGTGCCTTGGTCTGATTGTTTGTTTGTTCAGCGAGCTTTATAGGGGCCAAAAACGGGATGAAAAGCATAAATCGGCTTGCGCAGCTAACGGTATTCTTTTTTCGCTCTTTTTCAACAGATTATTGCAGTAAAGCTACAAACTAATCTAAAATTGCCACTACATAAATAAATGTACATTAAATATTTCTCTACAAAATGAAAAGTGTGCTGAAGAATGATTCCAAACAACTCTAAAGGATATCAGTTATTATATTAGTTTTCTAAAAGGACTTCCAACCACTCCAACCAGATTGTCGGGAAACTATATGGTATAATAGGATTCAAGCATCGTTCTGATACATTTTTAACAGAAAAAAAGTTAAGAATGTTTGGAGATCATAAACAGAATCAATAGCATGTGTCCTTTAAGACGTTTAGAAAAACTGCAATAGACAGGCGATTGGAATTTTTCTCAATAATACATTTGAATTTAGCATATAAAGGGTATTGATACGATCAAACGCACTAGGAAACTCGTTTCTGAACTATGCACATTGCATAACTAATAAAATTAGTAAATGTTTCCACCTATTTCCTATCTGAAGATCTTAATCGATCAGACTAAGTTTCATATCACAGATACAGCAAACAAAACTGAGAGGCTTCTTTTTTCCATGTTCAAGAATGTATAATATTTCTCAAGGAGACTGAGATACACGAATCCATCTGTTTTCGGTTGAAATGTCACATCTCACTCAGGAAGCAAAAAAACAAACATTTTTCTTTTATCTCGCAATAAATATTGTTCATACCTTTCTCTATCGATCTACGCAAGAACTAACCTTCTGTAATGAAAGGAACGGCCAGTAATGTCTTTAAAAAAATAGATAGACATTAATGCAAGCTAAAAACTGGAGTGGCCATATCTGCTGTGAGCTCTCGAACATGATTGTGACACTTTGATTCAACTTGTTCCGTACAGCATTGTATGATACCCCTTCAAAAAAAAGTGCCAAAGTTCGATATTAAGAAAAAGCGAGACTTGTGTCGATACTCCCGACGCTTATTTTTCGTTGCGTTAATTGTAGACCAGCCATGAGAAGCGTCAAGCAGAAATCAAAGATGTAATTAGGCTGTACTTGAGGCAGGGACGTGAGTAGGTGTCTTTAATAAGCTCAAATGTGTCCAAATGCCATCCAAAGCTCATATGTAGATGTGTCTCTATCTGTGCGACTCAACTCAAGCCGAAATTTGGCTTCTTACTTTGAAAAATGTTCTATCGTCTGAAATAGGTATGCACCGGTATCGGTATTCATACCGATACCGAAAATACCGACTTTTTTCACTTGGAATTTTTGAGATTTTTTCATTTGAAATGAGATGTTTTAGCGTCCTGGACACCCAGAATGAATCAGGGACGGAAAACAAGAGCTTTGCTTGCTTTCTAAAGCCAAAGGTTTTGTTTTTTTTCTATCCGCACATGCTCAAAATATACAACTGAGTGTTGTTTATACGTTCTGTTTGTCCAGGATGCTAAAATACTTCATTTCAAATGAAAAAATCCAAAAAATTCCAAGTAAAAAAAAGTCGGTATTTTCGGTATTCGGTATACCGCTACCGGTGCATACCTAGTCTGAAAAATCCGACAAAATATGATAAACAGAATTTCTGACCAAAAGAAATGGGTTTTTCATGATCCAACTAAATTTTTTCCCTCTGATGTACATTGTATGTACAATGTATTCATTTTAAGACAGCCTCATAAACAAAATTAAAATCTTTCACTAATATTAATTTTGTTTGAAAATGAATTTTTTTTCGATAGTGGGCCAGCCAATAATTTTTCACTGAAAAAAAAACGACTCATTTTCAGTATTACTGAATATTATTACTACTTTGTAATTACTTTGCATTTTAAAGTAGAATGTACAAGGATATATTTAAATTGCTCTAGGGTGAAAGAGGCAAGAGATTTACAATTTTTGCCAATCGAAACAAGATATCCCATGATTCCTTTTTGCAAGCAAAGCGATACTCAAAAAGATCAAGAAAGATAATTTTTGTCATTACTTGACAAAATTGATCTTTGGAGATAGTATCTTCAGAAAATCAATCTGACTCTCTAAATATTTAAAGTAGTAATATAATAGTAATTTTTTCACATAAATAAATAATTCGTAGGGCTCACTTCAGTGGGAACCAGAGCTCCGTATGGACTAGACTGAGTCTATATTCCAGTCCAGTCCATGTGGACTGGACTGGACTCAGATTTTTTGGATTTCATGGACTCGGACTGGACTGGACTAGACTTTTTTAGTTCATGGACTGGACTGGACTCAAAAATTTGAGTCCATACGGAGCTCTGGTGGGAACCAAGCGAAATTTTTATTCTTCAGGATTTGGACGCGATATCGAACCTTTTTTCAACTCCATATCGGGTATCATTTGAGGATAATCCTGGAATCTGACAGAACATACATAATCGACCACGCTAACTTCCAGCTTGTGGTATGATTAATACTACAAAAAGTTTTGCTTAGGGTTTTCCTACAAACTATTTGAGAAAATCATAGGATTTTGCAAAGCACTTCTGAAGATTTGTTATCATTTGGATATAGACATTCGCAAGTTCTGAAATGATTATAATGCATTCTGAGCGCGTGGTAAAAGTTTTAATATTAGTTGAAAAAGAATAGTTGAAATAACAGAGTTGAAATAATTCGTGACTTTTGAGGGTCTGGACGGCGAGCACTTTAAGCAGAAACTTTGATGCTGTATAGAGCCGTATTAAACTCAGTTTTGAAAGCCTTTTAGCTTTAGAGCTCGGCTGAAACGCGTAACTGTCGCCCTCAGCTGCGGTGGATGGAGCTATATTTTTTCTCTCACACCAGCCTTAAAAGCACATCACTAGACGCAGTTTTTTGCGTTGATTACGAATATCAACTTTAAAGCGAGCGAAACTCAGATTTTTAGGTCGAAAATTCAAATTTAAAATTTAGAAATTTTTTTATTTTAATTTTCCGACCTACTTAGTTTTTTTAAAAAGTTTCAGAAAGTATGTCAGTTGATAAAAAATTAAGTTCTTCACAAAATGCACTATTGACTTTGTCGAAACAATCTTAAAAAACGCATTTTACACGCTAAACAAGTTTTTGCTGATTGTTGCCGAATTGGAAATGGTCCTTTTTTTTGGACTAATTCTACAAAAATCGAAAGCATTTCTTTCACCGTTCGTTCTTGCCTGGTTTGATAGAGGACACTCGATTTATTTTATTTTACTCATAAAATCGTTCTACTTAGCCGACGCATTCGAAATTTTTACCATAAACCAATCATTCTACCGCACATCTATCCGCACAATTTACATATTGTACAAACAAGTCGAGTTTAAACATTGAAAAAATTTCGCCATGTTTTGTTCAGTATTTTATGAGAAACAGAGCCCAAAAGTTGAAAAAATGTAATTCCGTCACGCGCGTTTAACCCGAGTTTAAAATGTAAGATAAGGACAATTTATTTACAGAAAGAAATTCTCAGATGAAACTCAATTGAAACAAGCAACAATCTATGGCCCGGTGTTCATACACTTTTACCCAACGCTTTTAGTCTAAATTATCCTCTTTGCTTTGATAATTTGTATTTAATTAAAAAAACATTTTCAAATTTGAAATGCCTGAAGCTATGCTTAATGTGTCATGTGGATGACAAACTTTTGTTAAACAACAATAGAATATTGTTTAAAAATGTTGACACACTTGTACTATGTTACTTACAATCACATCCACCGCATAATGATAATCAACATATCGGAACTATTTTTCTTTCTTGCAAAATGAGTCGCCGTGATAATATTGTAATTAAATCAAAACGAAATCCAACACAGCAACCTTCGTCGTCAGTAATTTCAGCTCATTTACAACCGCAAGATTTAAGCCAACTAAAAACTGTTGTCACATCGAAAGAATTTTTATCCGGTGTTGTAAATGCTGTAGTATCTCATGATACATTAATATCAAGTATTGTAGAAGTAGTCAATCGTTTCAACAGCTCATCGGAAAAATTATTGATGACAAAATGTTAGTGTATGAAAATCGTATAAAAAAACTTCAATCAACAATCGAAGATATGCAAGCGCATATCGAAGACTTACAATACAAGTGTAATGACCTGGAACAATATGGTAGACGTTGTACTGTCAGAATCTATGGTATTAAAGAGGAGGAAAAAAATGAAAATATGAGCGCTATTGTTATTAATTTTGCCCAAAAAATTGGAGTTAATGTTACTGAACAAGACATCTATGCGTCTCACCATTGGGGTAACAGAAAAAATTCCACGCGGCCGATAATTGCTCGCTTTCTTCGTTATGAAACACGTCTAAGTTTACTACATAATCGTTCGAAACTAAGATCTATTCAAGATTACAAAAATGTCTATATCAATGAAGATCAAACTCGCTTTAATTATGATTTGTTTATGTATGCGCGTAAAGTTTTAACATCATGTTCGTACAAAGAACGGGTATCTCTTTTATCGTTCGGAAGTTGATTATTTTCACAAATTGACATCTTTCCAGCAAATTGATAACTTAGCTCAGCAAGAATAGCGGTAAAAGACGTATGTATTAATGCCTTTTTCTTTCTATATTTTACAACGGAACTATTCATCTCGGCAAACAGCTGACATATACATCTTTCTTTTATACAATTGCGTGTTTTATTTCTTCGTCTTTATTTTTTCAGTTTGTATGGCTTTATTTCTTTACATGTGAGAGTGTAACATCGACATATTTCTGTCAAGTTGACCTGTGATTCTAATGTGAGAGCATCTTCTTTTTTTCTCATCCCTAATGTTAAGTAACACAGAGGAGTGCACAGTTCTATAGAAATTTCTATTCACAATGTTCGCAACTTATTAGGTCTAGCTGGAAACGCCAGTCTTAAAGAGGAGGACTTGTCTTTTTCTAAATTTGATTTATGCAGCCCTTTCCAGTCCTTCTATTATAGGTATTGTGGAATCCTGGCTATCGCCCTCAGTTGAGAATAGCCGTCTTCTAATTGCAAATTCTCAAGTTCCTTTTCGCAAAGACAGAAGTCGACATGGGGTTGGATGTTTACTTTATGTTCATGACGAGTAGTAGGGTACATGGACTCGCGCATAAGTCGTCGAAATTCATTTTTCAATAAGGAATTTGAAAATGATAAGCAAAAATTCGTCAATCCTCTTAACAAAAAATCCAGAGCTTTTTCTCAAAACGAAAAATTTTGGCACTTTTCGGGTATTTTCAATGTCTCTGATTTTTCTCAATGAAGAAAGGGTTTCTCGAGGCTGAAAAAAGGTGATATTCGTAACCAGCGTCGTCTGGCGATTCAGAATATGTATAATATATCCAAAAATAAATTCCACTTTAAGTTTGGATTACGTGCATCTTATGGCCGACACTCCAGCAAAAACTTTAAAATAGAATTTGTAGCAAAATAAAGCGGAAAAATCATAAAAATTAAGCCCAGACGAGTTTAGAACCTCTGCAATCACTTATTTTGAGCGTACTGTTTAATGCACTTTACCATCAGTGCAGATATCAGCAGATAAGCATATTTCTCACTTATTCTGCTTTTCTCACTAAAGTACAAATGAAATTATTTTTTGTAAGGGGCAGATGACCGGTAAATAATTTATTTTTAACTGGTAATTAATTAGTAACAAAGTTATCGTGTGCGGCATAAATAATGATATTATCAGTGTCTTGTCGATATCTCGACGAGTTTTCATCATAGAGACTTGATCTTAGTCTGAAAAGATTTTCTACTGAATTCTACAAAACCTTATTAAAAGCCATTATCTCATCCCAGGGCTCGACAGACCGAGATACTTGATATCTCGTCAGTTAATAAGCAATTGATTCTTAATTGTTTATATTGTGTTAGAAATGTCGGCGAAGGCGTATTGTATACAGTGCCAATAGTTAGATTAACATATTTCTCACTATTCAAAGTGCTGCAAGTCTAATACCGACTAGGGATCTGTGGACAGTTGTTCTAATTCTGTAAATTTCTCTTTGAAATACCCTGTGTAAGAGGAATTTGGGACTACTAAAAGAAAGTTTTTGATCCACAGTTTAAAAAGTTACTTTTTCCGAGACACCAACGCAAAATTCGAGCTCTTTATTAAACAGTTTTACTAATAAATCCCAACATTTTCATTTTGGTTTTCCTGTCACTAAGTGTAAGACAAGTTTGACTTTTACGGTATATCGGACAGAATCGAAAAATAAAATGCGAGACAAATGATTTATTTGTGTTTCACAGGCATAAATTAGACAGTATAAATACTATTTTTTTGACTAAAGTTTTCTTTCAGATTGTGAATGATAATTAACTACATATAAAGAAATACATTTTCTGTTTTATAAATTTCTTATGCGACATTTCACATAATAAAATAGCTTCACAATTGCCTATGAGAATTTAGAACGGGCACCTTACCTTCCTAAGCAAAATAGGATCTAGCTTAAGCTAGCTAAAAGGAACATTTACCTAGCTTGAGCTAGCTGATTGTTCCTCTTTAGCTAGCTTAAGCTAGATCCCATTTTGCTTGGGTTGTCGCTATAATACACAGATAGGCTCTCATCCACACTAGAAAAGAACCTGCCAGTTTTAAGAGTTAACTACAGACCTAATGATATCTCTTCGAGCTGGAACTTTTCTCAATCTGTTATCACGATATCTGTCAGTTTCCGAACCGCTGTAGTGGCAACATTGCATGTTATACTACCTAATTAAGTGCCCTTTAATAGAGAAAGATTCGAATAAAATTAATCAAATCTGATTTACTATAGGCTTACTCTTCATTTTTAAAAGTGTCAGATTGTGATAGAACATAATAGAAAGAGTATCAATCTTCTATTATCAAAAAAAACCTGTCTTTTTTGTTCATTCATTAATTAAACGTAGTAGGTTGACAATGTTTGATTACGTGTAGTTTTTGAATCTAAAATATGTAAGTTTAATAAACCCAACATAATAAGATTTGACTTGTGCGTGTTCTATGAACTGCAGAGGAAATCGTGGTGCAGATGATTTTCTCTCTAACTGACAATAAAACCATTTATTTCATTTCTCATTCGTACTGTAAACAACAATGACGGATGTTATCACCTATTCAGCAGTAGTTACTGCTTCGCTGAATCGTAGTATGGGCATAACACTAATAGTTCTAGGAACCGTTGGGAACATTCTCAATATTTTTGTATTTACACAAAAATCATTGCGAACATCATGTTCATTGTACTTCCTATCGTCCGCAATCGCCAGTATTATCGCACTCTATACCGGGTTACTCCCCCGTTTACTATCTGGTTTTGGCGCAGATCCAACCGTTTATTCAACAGTGCTATGTAAACTTCGATTTTATTTTGTACTCACCGCGCTTGCTCTCGGTGGCTGGTTTCTTGTTTATGCGTCTATCGACCGTTACTGTTCATCGAGTCAAAATGCGAGAACAAGGAAATTTAGTCGAATTCCACTTGCCTATCGAATCATTTCTGCCACCATCCTATTTATGTTGCTTATTTACGTTCAAGTTCTATACTGTTACGAGTCAAACCCGTTGCAGTTTCCCGTCGCTTGTTATGCCAAAGATGCCCCCTGTCGAGTATTCAACGACATAATCTTCCTCATCGCCTACAGTCTAACGCCGTCAATATTTATGTCTATTTTCGGTATTCTCACAATCAAAAATATACGTCGATCTGGTCGACAGATATTGCCAACTGTTACTACTGCAACAGTCTTACGTAGTCGCCAACGCAATAGTCAACTCATCTTCATGCTATTAGTACAAATCTGTTTTCATGTCATATTCACTGTACCTGTTTCTGTATCAAAATTATATACAACATTGACAATCAGTAATGTATCTAAGACGAAAGAACAGCTTGCAATGGAAAACTTTTTTTACAACGTTTCTGTATTGTTCTCATATGCGAATTGTGGGATCGGATTCTACATTTATACACTGACTGGACGAGTTTTTCGCCGTCAACTGTTGCACATATTGGGATCGTATGTGCGACGTTCAGGCCCTATTATTAGAATAACCTCAACTTAGAGATCATCTAAACGCATGAAACATTTTCAATTATCTAAATACAGCGAGTATTGTATCGGTGCATCTCGATACATTGAAGTTCAGATTCATATCGAATGATTTGATTAAAACAATACCTAGACGTATTGAAAGAGATACACTGTAAAAAAAAGTGTTTTGACAAACCGCTTCGATGACTTCAAAACGCACTGTGGACGCGTTTTGAAGGCACGTTAGGACCATTTTCTCATATTTTTACACTTAGTCGTTTTAATATCTTCAAAAAACCACCGTTAAGTCACGACTTTTTTTGAAATAAATAGCTTAAGTGTATTTCATAGACAGACTAGTACATCAAAAATGCACAATGCACTAGCTACTGTCAAGACACTTAACCTTGCATAAGCCACAGATAAATCATGAAGTCACATTCAAGGCATTGAAAATGCAAGGATACTCCTGTCAGACACTGAATTAGAGGATATCGCTCAAAACCAACCTTTGATTTTGCCCACGGTCGCGCTGGTTAATGTTACTCTTGATTCCTCTATCGTGTGTCCTGGATTCACTCTCACGGGCCGTTCAACATCCATTAGTCATCACACGTTCAGTATTTTTCAGAACGGACCTTTTTCCTGTCTGACTCTGAAGTTTTTGAACCTGCATTCTGCACTGACCAATACTTTCGCCTGGTCCAAAGTTCCGTATTTACCTTCCGAGTTGGGTCACCTTTTACATTATTTGAATCAGACTTTTCCTACTTCATCTCATCATTATCCCAAACATCCTATCTTTTTAGCTGCAGTCTCATTGCTCCCTGTGGCTTTATTCTTCTCGTGCGTTGCAGCATTTCTGTATATCATTCTTCTTTATACCCACTGATTCTTGTGTTCTTTTTCAGGTCCATTCTTTTTATTTTTGCTTTATTCCTCTTCGATCTTTTCCGTTATTCTGTTTCCGTCCTTTCATGGGAACTACCCAATCCACCGATGTACACTCTTATCAGGGCCGTCCCTCGATCTATGGCGCATCATCCGCGCATAATATGTCTCTCACCTATCTACTGTTCCCTCCATCGAGGACAGTCTCAGTCCAATACGTCTTCGGCTGTCCCACAATTATTATATCTTCTGAAATCACTCGATGCAATTTTGTGGGTTATGAAATCACTTTCTGACTCCCTACTTCTACAGATCCACTTCACCCCACAGCAACTCGCTCATCCTCCACGTCCGCTGACAAATCCGTTACCTATTCATGCAGCGATGTCCGTTTACGACCGGATTATCATACCATAATGTCGGCTCCTCCTACGCTTAAATACAATACATTTACTCTTCTCGCAACGGCTACACCAATCAGGATATACGTCACTTCCACCTCGTTCTCACGTCCAACCTCCAGTCGTTCTCACGGATCTTCGTGTCACACCTACATCGTCGTGTGTTTCATCGTCACCT